CACTTCCCTGAACTCATCTGCAAGACTCCTACCCTTGCTAGGCTGCCTGTATGGATCTTGTCTAGAAAATCTGGGTAGTTGCTCCCTTTTCTGGATGCCTGTCTCCCCTTAGTCTGTGATCTCCTCAAGACAGGCACAGTCTCTGCTTGTGTGTATGAAAAGCAGCTAGCACATATGGGGGCTACCATAAAACACAATGATAATCACCTGCTCTGTGCTGTCCTGTTGTGATTCTCTAACTTCTCAGGACGGAGTGGAAGCGAAGATGACTACAGCAGTTGTACCAGGCAGCCCTCTGCCTTCACAAGGGGACAGAAACGTTTATTACATCTTGACAGATGATTTTGCATATGGCAGCAAGCTCTTTCCCGCCGGGAGCATGTGCTTCCTCAAAGAGAGGACGTATCTGCACAGTATCGCCTGTGGCACAACGTCCACTCCCTACATGAGGGTCACCATGCTGGAAGGCCATTCCATAGTCACTATCGAGGCAGAAATTCTTCAACCCGTGAATGAGGAGGAAGCGGTTTTCCTTCTGGCCATCAACACCCTCAATGAGCGCTTGAACTATTTCCTGGACCGCTGTAGCCTTGAAGCAGCAGTGAAGGCTACAGTGGGCCAACAGGTGATGGTGGATCTCAACCAACAACTGTTCACTGGCACCATCCGCTACGTTGGGAAGATCACCAAGAGCCCTTTGTCCTCCTCACTCTGTCCATCCTACTTTGGGGTGGAATTACAGGTAAGGTGATTCAGGGGGAGGGAGGCGCTTTCTCCCCCCACCCCCAGTTAACTTTATATAGGCCCAGCATCTCAGCCCAGTGGAAGGGGGTCTGGCTGAGGGGAGTGGACTTGCATTGCCTCCCTGTCCCATCTTATAATCAAACCCCTTGTTCAGGAAAACAAATCTTGTTGCCCTGGAAGTGCTAGTTCTAATTATACTGCACTGAACATTTAGCCTTTTTATCCTAATAGCAAGGCCCTGGTTTCCACTGGTAACAGCAGTGTGCCTGGGATCAGAACTCCTGGGATCTGTTCCTGCCTCTGTTCCAGACTCTCGGTGTGACTTGGGCTTCTCTGTCTCTGACTCAGTTTCCCCATTGTAAAATGGGGGTGGGTCTGTATTTTGATCCAGTATAGCAGCTCTGTTGTTCTTATTGGGTTGGGTGGGTACCTCATTTCTGACATGGGGTCATGTCACTGTGCCAAGGGTCAGGTGGCTTCTCTCTGACTTGTCCCTGCCCAGAATGTAATGTGCCTTTCTGCTGGTTCTTCAGGGTGATGGTGAAGGCAGAGGCCACAGTGATGGCACCTATATCGGCTCTGAATATTTCAAGTGTAAGGAGAACTGTGGACTCTTTCTGCCGCTTAACAAAATCCGGTTTATCCCGGCGCTGGGCGGCGACCCAGCGAGAGAGGAGCCCAAACCGGATGTGGACGAGGTTGTTCCTGTAAAAGTGGGGGACACAATTGGCTTCTACCTGGATGACGTCTTCAGACAAGGCATAGCTATGGACGTGTACAAGGAGGGAACCCAGTGGTTTGTTAAAGTTTGCCCGGTAAGAGGAGCTTCCCTTCATTTCTCGTTATCTTGCAGCCTGCCTTGCGGTAGGAGCCTTATCAATGTGCAAAATCAGTTCCCGCACATGAGTGAAGTCTTTGTCTAGGGCAAACAAAACCATTGTTTCCTGTGGGAGACTTTCCTCATCTTACCCCACCACTTACAGTTCATTTAGCTGGCATAACCCTCTATTGCATTGTCTCTTACAGGAAGAAGAAGGACCAACAGATGTTTTCAGAGATATCCCTATGGACTCGGTTGTGAAGGAAGGGCTGCTCTCCCCAGGTGAAGCAGCACACAAATACAGCCACCCCACTGCGTAGAACCCAGTGGATTGGGATTTGCTGTTGGGTTTTTTTTCCTTTTTCTTTCACCTCATTCTCTGCTGTGTGGCTGACAAAGCTAAAATGCAATGGAGGAGTTGGTTACGTTTTTAAAAGGATGATTTGAGGGCTGGAGAAAATGCCCAACAGTGAGAGACTTAGAGAGCTTAGTATATTTAGCTTATTGAAAAGAAGACTGAGAGGCGACCTGATTCCAGTGTATAAATACCTTCCTGGGGAGAAAATACAGGGTACTAAAGGGCTCTTTGTCTATTGGAGAAAGACAGAACAAGAACCAATGTCTGGAGGTTAAAGCCAGACAAATTCAAATTAGAAATAAGACACGGATTATTAACAGTGAGTGGATTAACTATTAGAACAAACTACCAAAAGGAAGCGGTGGATTCTCCAGAGCAGTATAAAAGGGCCTTAGCTTGACTGAGAATCAGTCCCCAAGTTTCCTGACTCTCCTAGGAACGGCCACACTGGGTCAGACCAATGGTCCATCTAGCCCGATACCCTGTCTGAAATGGCGGCCAGAACCAGAGTTTAAGGGGGATTATACAGAACAGGGCAATTATGGAGAGAGCCGCTCCTGTCTTCCCCTCCCGGCTTTTGGTGGTCAGAGGTGTCGTGTAGCCGCAAGCACTATCTTGGCTAATAGCTAATAGCCATTGATGGACCTGTCCTCCATTAACTCATCTCATGCTTTTTTTGAACCCATAGCACCCCATGGCAATGAGTTCACAGGTTCATTGTATGTTGTCTGGAAAAGTCCTTCCTCTTGTTTGTATTAACCCTGCTGCCTATTCATTTCATCTGCTGACCCCTGGTTTTTGTGATGTTGGAAAGGATAAATAACACTCCTCTAGGCATTTTCTCCTCCCCATTCATGATCCTATAGATTTCTATCATCTCCCATTTTAGGCATCTCTTTTCTAACCTGAAACAGCTCTGATCTTTTCAGTCTCTACTTGTATGGAAGCTGTTCCATACCTTTGATCATTTTTGTTGCCCTTCTCTGAACCTCTTCCAGTTCCTCTATATCCGTTCAGTTCTTCTTAGCCTCATACTCATAGATCAGGGGCGGGCAAACTTTTTGGCCTGAGGGCTGCATCCTGTTTCCAAAATTGTATGGAGGGCTGGTTAGGGGAGGCTGTGCCTCCCCAAACAGCCAGGTGTGGCCTGGCCCCTGCCCCCTATCTGACACCCCTCGCCCCCTGGTGCCGCCCCCTCCCCCCCCGGGACTCCTGCCCCATCCACACACCCCCACTCCCCATCCCCTGACGACCCCCCCCCCGGGACTCCTGCCCCATCCAACACCCCCCCCCCCCGTTCCCCTGTCCCCTGACAGCCCCTGGAACCCCTCCTGCCCCATCCAACCCCCCCTCTCCTTCCTGACTGCCCCCTGGTACCCCTGCCCCCATTCAATCCCCCTGTTCCCTGCCCTCTGACTGCCCCAACCCCTATCCACATCCCCACCCCCAGATCACCACCCCAAACTTCCCTGCCCTCTATCCAACACACCCTGCTCCCTGCCCCCTTACCACGCTGCCTGGAGCACCGGTGTCTGGTGGTGCTACAGCCGTGCCGCCCGGCTGGAGCCTGCCCCGCCACCGTGCAGCACAGAGCACTGGGTCAGGTCAGGCTCTGCAATGGCGCTGCCCCAGGAGCTCACAGTCCCGCCGCCCAGAGCATTGCGCCGGCGTTGGGGCAAGCTGAGGCTGCGGGGGAGGGAGAACAGCGGGGGAGGGGCCAGGGGCGAGCCTCCCCCAGGCCGGATGTGGCCCGCGGGTTGTAGTTTGCCCACCTCTGACATAGATCCACTTCTGAGAAGCACAGAAACACTAGGTTGTATTGTTATTAGGAAAACAATGCTGCCAAATATTTGGCAACCACTTATTCTAATGAACAAAGATTGACTTTCCACCCCGGCTCTTGCCCAGGCTTTATTATGTGTATTGTGAATTTTCAGTATTTGAGCCAGACATGGCCCCGGGATCTCTGAGACAACTGAAGCGAGAGAGAAGCGGAAGCGGGGAGGAATTGGAAAGTGAAAAACAGTCCCTGGATGTGAACTCCATGGTACAGATCACCTTAGACAAGGGGAATCTCGTCTCTGGAATCATCCGCTGGTTGGGGTACCTGCCCAAAATTGAGCCCAAAATGGCAGGAGTTGAATTAGTAAGTAGCAAAATAATGTTTCAGTTCTCTAAGGGCACTAAGGTCAGGATTGGCATGTCTTTTGGGGGTCATGAGCGTGTCTGTTTCACAGCATGCCCTAGGTTAGGGTGCTAACATTTCATACTGCTTAATTAAAGAGGCAGGGCAGATTAAGCTGGCCTCTCCTGCTGGGCTCGTGGATGGGATAATGTAGATACTGGTACGCAGACTTTCCTTAGTGGAGGGAGAGTGGTATATTGGTGAGAGCATGGACCTGGGAGCCAGGACTCCTAAGTTCTAGTCCTAGCCCTGCTATTGACTCACTGTGTAAGCTTGGTCAAGTCTCCTCTCTGTCTTTTTCCCCATCTGTAAAATGGGATCATTCTCACCTGCCTGCAGAGGTGTTGTGAGGCTTCATTAGTTATTTGTGAAGTGCTTTGAGATCCTTGGACAATAGCTGCTGCTGTTGGGATTTAGATTCATGAAATTCGTTCTGTGCTGACAAAAGGGATGCACTGGTCTAAAATGTAACTAAACCAAATGCAAAAAATGGGTCAAAATAAGTATAAAGTTGTATGTAGTTGTCAGGGCATGAAATCCCATCCTAACGTCGGCCCTAGCGCAGCCTCAGATATGTGCAACTCTGACGGTGTGATGTGTTTAATAGTGTGTTTGGTCCCATGTAGCATTTCAGTTGATCGTGCCCCCTTGTGGCGAAATTGTTGCTGTTACTCTTTTTCTACAGCTGTGCTCACAAGTGCTGCTTAGTCTAACTTAGCGGCTTTCAACCTTTTTTCATCTGCAGACCCCCTAAAAAATGTCGACTGGAGGTGCAGATCCCTTTGGGAATCCTAGACATAGTCTGTGGACCTCCCGGGGGTCCACGGACCAGGGTTGAAAACCACTGTTCTATAGTAATGACAACCTTCTGCGGACCCCCAGGGATCCGCGGACCATAGGTTGAAAACCACTGATCTAACTCGCTCCTCGAAAGCCTGGCCTGGAACTGCTTGTGGATGGATTTCTGTCCTTTTCACAGGATGAAGAGAAGGGGGTCACAGATGGCGAATGGCTAGGCACGCGCTACTTCCACTGCCCCTCAAAGCGTGGCCTCTTTGTGAAGCTTCAATCATGCCAGCCCGACATGCGCTTCCAGTGTGTGAGCAGCGGTCTCCTGGACCCCAGCACTTGCAGTGAGTTCTCTTAGAAGCTAATGACTCCGGCTAGGACAGGAGGGTCATATGTGGGTCGTCTTTGCTAGTCTCTGTGTTGAGGACCAGCATTTTGTGTAAAATTATAATTCTGAGTCCTGTGGTACCTTTAAGACTAACAGATCTAAAGGTGCCACAGGACCCTCTGTTGCTTTTTACAGATTCAGACTAACACGGCTACCCCTCTGATACCTTTGATACTTATAATTCTGAGAGTCCCAGGTGCCCTCCTCCATTCCCAAAGAATAGCCCTGATGTATCCTAGCACAACTAAATCTACTGCACTTTATATTCCCCCGCCTGTCCCCATTAGAACTGACTCTAGGACTAATTTTGTTCTCTCGTCCTCTTTCTCATCTCTCCCTTTTCCTTTCACCTTCCATTTTCTCGTTTTCAAGCTATTAGTGGTAGAGCCAGGGGACTGGGAGTTGGGACTCCTCGGATCTATTCTGACATTTGCCACTGACTTGCTGTGACCTTGGCACGTCACTTAAATTCTCTGTTGCCTTAACTTTTCCCTTCTGTAAAATGGGGCTGATACTTACCAACGACACAGGGATGTTGTCAGGCTAAAGCATTTGAGATCCTGCTGCTCTAATATCCCCTTACCACTTGCATCACATGCTGGATCTGCCCTTCAGGAGGTTATTTGTGCTGCAATGGAATAGTTATGGGCCACCTGGAATGGTAGTGTGACCACACTGGCATGGAGCGGAGGGCGTAGATCTTCGGGACAGAGCTGTGGACCCCACAGAATAAATGCTTCTGAGCCTCCGGCAGCTCCTCTGTATGCCTGGAGGCACGGCAGACTTAAAGGGCAGGGAAGTACAGCCAGAGAAGCACGCCTTCCCTCCCCTAGTATGGTTAGACCAACTAACCCGCACCAAAGCCAAGCGGGCAGCAATGTGGTGAATGGGCATTCATCTACCGACTTCGGCTTCCAGCAGCAGCCCTGAGAATCCCCCTAGCTGGTTGTTGGACACTTCCAGTGCAGAAGCGTTTTCTAGGAATGCTTTACACAGAGATCCCATTATTTCAAGCTTACATTCAGCTCGGTGTCAGGAAACTAGCTCTCTCCACGGCGGGCCCTTTCAGCGTCAGACGCTCGCTGACGGGATGAGGAGGATAGTACCGGCGGTGTGGATGGCAGGGAATGTGTAGTGGCTTAAAAAGTCTAGCGGCTGAACGAGTGATCAGCAGATTGCCCAGAGGTTCCCTCTCATGCTGAGGTTATGGGTCTGTGTTCTTGCAGCTGATTATAGTGGGTAAGTGTACCAAGCAATCAAGTCCCCATCCCACAGCGGTTACGGTCTAAATGCAGGGGTGGGTACGGTACAGAACAAACAGAGTGGGTTGTGACCTTTGTAGGTGGACTAGCCCTACAGGAAAGGACCAGGAGGGCAAAGCTGTCCCGAGGGCAAGGGGATGCTAAAAGCAGTTTCTGTTATTTCTGTTGCAGGTAGGATAGATAGTCCTGAGGTTCTGGCTAATTTTCCTCCTCTCAGGAATGGCACAGCCGTGAGTGTTTTACAAGGGCGCATGAGAGGGATTCAAGGCCACTGCAACTCCTGCTACATGGATGCTGCCCTTTTCAGGTAGGAGGCGCTACTCTCCTTTAACCTCATGCAGAATGGCCTCTCTTGACCGTCTCCTTCTGTTAAGCGAGGGCCGTCATCCAGGGCTGATGGTCCTTACTGAGCGTCAAACCAGGCAACTCATCAGGAGCACAGGGATGACACGTAATTTGCACAAAGTAGAGTAGAACGCAATATAGAGATGCAGCTTAGAGATGACAGGTCCCAACCCCCAATAACCTGAAGGAGAAAGTTCTTAGATGCTAAGCACACACCATTTGTGTGTAATGAAAAATCATAGGTTGCCACATTAGATTATATTACTGGTCCTCTCAAGTCTGGTATGTCATCTCAGGTAATGGGCAAAAACTGATACTTAAGAGAAACCTCTAGTAATGCACCCAGCTGATGGGACAGTGCTGTACGTGGGGGGTGGGGAAATCCCTTGGTGACCCCCAGAAGCAGTCAGTTTTAGCCCTGAAGAATGAGATTTGATTATCTCAGCCTGCCTAGCTACAAATGTTCCTAAATTAGCCAAGCCACAGGATTTCACTCATCCACAATTGATGGAAAACTTTCTCATTTCACACTGCCGACTTTCACGCATTCCCTCTTTCCATTCCGTACATCTAAAAATTAATAGTAGCTTAGGTACAAAGTGATCATGACTTGATCGCATTTATAATGTCCAAGCGGAGTAAAGTTCAGACCAGTAATATATATGTTTGGTGCTCTAAAAGGACAAATTTCACAAAGCCGAAAACAGTTCTGAGTCACATCAGCCGGGAGGAAAAATTTACTCAGAAAGATGTGAATGATAATTGAGAGTTGTGTAAGAACACTTTACTAGGTACTGAAAAAGCCACAATTGAGGAAAAAGGCAGTGTAAAGGGACACAAAGAGAAATGTATGCATCAGTACTAATGCAAAACAAGGCAGACGTGTTCAATAAATATTTTGCTTTGTATTGAGGAAAAAACAGATGACGCAATCATATCACGATGATGATGACACTCTTTCCATTCCACTGGTGGCTTGGGAAGATGTTAAACAGCAGCTACGGAAGTTGGACTTTTTAAAATCAACAGGTCCAGAGTACTTGGATCCAAGAGTTTTAAAAGAGCTGGCTGGGAGCTTGCTGGACTGTTAATGTTGATTTTCAATAAGTTTTGGAACACTGGGGAAGTTCCAGAAGACTAAAAGAAAGCTAATGTGCCAGTGTTTTAAAAGGGTAATGGGATGACCCAGGTAATTATAGGCCTCTCAATCAGACATTGATCCCAGGCAAGATAATGGAGCAGCTGATACAGGACTCAATTAACAAAGAATTAAAGGAGGGTAGCATAATTAATGTCAATCAATATGTGTTTATAGAAAATAGATGCTGTCAAACTAACTTGGTGGGTTTTTTTTATGGGATTACAAGTTTGGTTGATAAAGGTAATAGTGTTGATGTAACACACTTCTCTAAGGCATTTGAATTGGTATTGCAAGGCATTTTGATGAAAAAAACTTGAACGATATAAAATTATCATGGCACATATTCAATGGATTAAAATCCCGCCAACTGATAGGTCTCCAAATGTGTTTATAAAAGGGGAATCATCACCGTGTGGGTTTGTTTCTAGTGAGATCCTGCAGGGATCAGTTCTTGGCCTTATGGTAATTTAACTTTTTTATCAATGACCTGGAAGAAAATATAAAATCATCACTGATGAAGTTTGCAGATGACACAAAAATTGCAGGAGTGGTAAATAATGAAAAGGAGCGAACTACATTGTTTGGTAAACTTGGGCACAAGCAAACAATATGCATTTTAATATGGCTAAATGTAAATTGGTACATCTAAAACCAAAGAATGTAGGCCGTATTTACAGGATGGAGGACTCTGGGAAGCAGTGACTCTGAAAAAGATTCAGGGGTTATGGCAAATAATCAGCCGAATGTGCAACGCTGTGGCCAGACAGGCTGAGATCCTTGGATGCATAAACAGGGGAATCTTGAGTAGGAGCAGAGAGATTATTTTACCTCTGAATTTAGCACTGGTGCGACCAGCGTTGGAATACTGTGTCCGGTTCTGGTATCCACAGCTCAAGAAGGATGTTGATAAATTGGAGACGGTTTAGAGAGAAGAGTCATGAGAATGATGAAAGGATTAGAAAATATGCCCTATAGTGTTAAATTGATGGAGCTCAATCTATGTAGTTTAACAAAGAGAATGGTAAAGGGTGACTTGATTACAGTCTATAAGTACACACATGAGGAACAAATACAGACACTCCCCGACTTATACCAGCGTTCCATTCCAGAATGCCTTGCATAACTCAAATTTTGCGTACATTAGAAACGTATACCCAACCATTACGCCAAAAAAAAAAAAACCACCCTCCTCTTTCTAGCTTACGGAACTTTTTCCGTAAATGCAGATTTGCGTAAGTCAGGTTTGCGTAACCCTGGGGGGGCATCTGTACTTGGTAATGGGATCTTCAGTCTAGCAGAGAAAGGTCTAACATGAAACCAATGGCTGGAAGTTGAAACTAGACAAATCAGAGGTGTAAATTTTTAACAGTGAGGGTAATTAGCTACTCTGTTGGAACAGTATTCCAAGATTGTAGTGGATTCTCCATCACGGGCAATTTGTAAAGCAAGATTGGCTGGATTTTTTTTTTTTTTTTAAATGATCTGCTGTAGGAATTATTTTGGGGAAGTTCTATGACCTGTGTTATCACAGGCTTGGAAGGACTTGATGTTTATCGGTTAATTTTGGTATAAACGTCCATTTCACCGCACACCCCAACAAAAAAATATTTCCATTGATGATCATTGAAATTTACTGATAGGGAAAATAAGTCAAATGCACTTGAGAACTTGTTAGAGTTTGATTTAAGGATACCTACTGTGTGTGTTTTGCCATGTGATGTTGATAATTTGTGTTTTAATGGTTATAACTTTAGCTTTAACTTCTTGAATTGCAATGTCTACTGTCACTAAGTAATTGTCTGACACCCTCCCCCCATTATTTCCTCCAACTGAAAATTCAAGTTGATAAAAATCTAAATATCAATATTTATTTTTATTTTTGTTTTTATTTCTTTATAATTTTGACAAATAAAATTCTGCCGAGCCTCACTATAGAGGAGGTCAGACAAGCTGATCTCACTAGTCCCTTCTGGTCTTGGCATCTGTGACACTATAAATCTCTCTCTTTCTCCCTTAAATCCGTCCATCTCTATGCTGTGTATCATTTAAAACAAAAACCACTGGGTTATTACCTGATTCCACTGTTACCAACCACTCTCTCTTCCCAGCCTCTTCTCCTGCACCTCTGTGCTGGACTCCATGCTCTTCAAGCCCTCCCTCCCGCCCGACGGGCATGTCCAGAAGATTCTCCGGGATGAGATTGTGAACCCCCTCCGACGGTGAGTACTGTACTTAGGACCACTGAAAGCAGCAAGTCTCTCTTCTGTAATCTCCGTGCTGCTACCACCTCCTTCCAGCCAGAATTGGGTCTGTCACGGTTCAGATTAGGGCTGTCGATTAATCACAATTAACTCAAAAAATTTAATCACCATTTAAAAAATTAATAGCGACTAAAAAAATGAACCGCGGTTTTAATTGCATTATTAAATAATAGAATACCAATTGAAATTTATTAAATACCTTTGGATGTTTTTCTACATTTTCAAATATATTGATTTCAATTACAATGCAGAATACAAAGTGCACGGTGCTCACTTTGTAGTATTATTTTTATTACAAATATTTGCACTGTAAAAATGATAAAAAGTAGTATTTTTCAATTTACCTCAAAGAAGTACTGTAGTGCAATCTCTTTATCGTGAAAGTGCAACTTACAAATGTAGATTTATTTATTTATTTATTTGGTTACATAACTGCACTCAAAAACAAAACAATGTAAAACTTTAGAGCCTAGAAGTCCACTCAGTCCTACTTATTGTTCAGCCAATCGCTCAGACAAACAAGTTTGTTTACATTTATGGGAGATAATGCTGCCAACTTCTTATTTACAGTGTCATCTGAAAGTGAGAACAGGTGTTCACATAGCACTTTTGTAGCCAGCACTGCAGGTATTTCAGTGCCAGATATGCTAAACATTCATAGGCCCCTTCATGCTTTGGCCACCATTCCAGAAGACATGCTTCCATGCTGATGATGCTTGTTAAAAAAAAATATGTTAGTTAAATTTGTGATTGAACGCCTTGCGGAAGAATTGTATGTCTCCTGCTCTGTTTTATCCACATTCTGCCATATATTTCATGTTATAGCAGTCTTGAATGATGACCCAGCACATGTTGTTCGTTTTAAGAACACTTTCACTGCAGAGCTGACAAAATATAAAGAAGGTACCAAAGAAATTTCTAAAGATAGCTACAGCACTTGACCCAAGGTTTAAGAATCTGATGGGCCTTCCAAAATCTGAGAGGAATGAGGTGTGGAGCTTTCAGAAGTCTTACAAGAACAACACACTGATGCTACAGAACCCGAACCACCAAAAAAGAAATTCAACCTTTTGCTGGTGGCATCTGAGTCAGGTGATGAAAATGAACACGCGTCGGTCTGCTCTGCTTTGGACTGTTATCTAGCAGAACCCGTCATCAGCATGGACGCATGTCCCTCTGAAATGGAGGTTAAAGCATAAAGGCACAGGTGAATCTTTAGCACGTCTGACATGTAAATATCTTGTGAAGCCAGCTACAACAGTGCCATGAGAATGCCTGTTCTCGCTTTCAGGTGACATGGTAAACAAGAAGCGGGCAGCATTATTTCTGCAAATGTAAACAAATGTGTTTGTCTGAGTGATTGGCTGAACAAGAAGTAGGACTGAGTGGACTTGTAGGCTCTAAAGTTTTACATTGTTTTGTTTTTGAGTGCAGTTATGTAACAAAAAAAATCTACATTTGTAAGTTGCATTTTCACAATAGAGATTGTACTATAGTACTTGTTTGAGGTGAATTGAAAATACTATTTCTGTTTTTTACAAAATATTTATAAGAAAAAATAAATATAACGTGAGCACTGTACACTTTGTATTCTGTGTTGTAATTGAAAGTAATATCTTTGAAAATGTAGAAAACATTCAAAAATATTTAAAGCAATGCTATTCTATTATTAACAGCGTGATTCATTGCGATTAATTTTTTTTAATCGCTTGACAGCCGTATTTCAGATGCTACTGAGACAAGTAGTACCCTAGAGATTCATATCTCTTGGCCAACTCTAAAGTTGTTCTGCTCTTCCTTCCCACTCATATTAACCCAGCAAGTGCTGAGATTGTGGATTTCCTTTGCTAAATGCTGCTGCAAAGTCCCAGGCAGAAGAAGGCTGCCTGTGGCCCTCTGGAGGGGTCAAAGAGAACTTGGGAGTGGTGTTGACAAGCCACATGCTACTCTCCTGGGCCAGAAGGGAGGCTGTCATGACTCATGGTTGAAGGTGAGAAGGTTAAAGAAGGGATCCCTGGGGTTCAGAGGTCTCAGTCGAGGTGTTGTGGGAGAGGGGAAGAAATGTATAATTAAAGGCTGGGCCCAGGGACAAGCCCTGCACTGTTACATGAAGGACTTTGATTTAATCTGTGGCCCTGATTTCTTGCTCCCAGGGCTGGGAGTGATGCTGATAAGGGAGCAAAGTCTCCAGGGAGCAAGTAATCCATGTTGCTTAAACAGCTGGCTCATAGAACTACTGAAAGGCTCCAAAGGGTTACCTGTACACTGCCAGCCTGTAAGGCTGATGACTGAGACAGGGCCTTGCGGAGGGTAGTGAGTATCCGCTAGCCTTCATCAAAAATATTTGGCCCACCCCTTCCCTCCCCCAGTGTTTATGGGACAGGAGGGTTTTGTTCAGTGCTGCTTGTGGTCGGGCCTCTGGCGCTAACTTCTTGCCTTTAGGGAGGGTGCGTCTTGACTTGGATTTTTGCCGGTGGGCTCCATGCTTCACCTGCTGTGTTTTCTGCCCCTGAGATGTAAGTTTGCCGATGCACAAAGAGCTCATTCCCAGCTTCCCCTCATTCCCAGGAATGGCTTTGTTGCCGCTAATAGCGTGATGCACCTAAGGCAGCAGTTGACGGAGAAGGGCCAATGTTCGAGCTTTGCCACGTCTGAGAAAGGTAACGTGCTCTCTGCAGATGTCTTACATCAGAGTGGTCTGTCTCATCTTCCCCTTTTCCCAGTCAGGCAACCCCGCAAGGTAGTTTCCTGTCTGCCCCCAGAACACTTGTTTTTAAATAAATGTCCTGCTACCTGGAGAATTCCTCAGATGTGTCAGCTTAGGTTTGGCCGTGCAGGAAGGTTCCCCAAGTATGATGGAAAGATCGGAATTGCTAGGTCCCTTGGTGCTGGCCTGTTGCTCAGAAGAAACCACCACCAAAGCAGAATTTGCCCAAGGCGGGTTTCTGTCTGACCCATTGGTTTGTATTTGCAGTCTGCAGTTAAACTCTGTTGGCCTGACTAGGGCTGTTAACCACGCTGTCTTTGCCAGATTCCATGTCTCATCATTACATTTTGCTCACCTAAATTCCTCTGCAGATTCAGTCGGATAGAGATTCTTCTTCTGCATTTGTTGTTCTTAGTTGTTATGCATGTTTGAATAGTTAGCACATTCCTGTCCAGAGGTAGACAGCCGTCCGTCTCTTCCTTGCCTCAGAGATAATATTTGTAAAGTGCTTTAAGATATGCAGATGAAAGGAGCTGCCGAATGACAAAGGATTATTGAAATACCCAGATGCTATCATCATGGCTGTATAAATATTAAAAAGTAGAAGTTATATTAAATCTTCTGCTCTCATGTCCTGGTATCTATTCCTTGACTTTAGCAAAGCTTTTGATACGGTCTCCCACAGTATTCTTGCCACCAAGTTAAAGAAGTATGGGCTGGATGAATGGACTGTAAGGTGGATAGAAAGCTGGCTAGATCGTCGGGCTCAACGGGTAGTCATCAATGGCCCCATGTCTAGTTGGCAGCTGGTTTCAAGCGGAGTGCCCCAAGGGTCGGTCCTGGGGCCGGTTTTGTTTAATGTCTTTATTAATGATCTGGAGGATGGTGTGGACTGCACTCTCAGCAAGTTTGCAAAAGACACTAAACTAGGAGGCGTGGTAGATACACTAGAGGGTAGGTGTGACTGGTTGGATCACAGAAACCCCCTTGGGAGCTGCCACCAGATGTGCAAAGACTACCCCTGCTTCTGTTTTCCCTGCCAGCTCAGGACTCCAGCACCCTGTCTTGCTGAGCCAGACACTCCCGTCTGCTCCAACACAGACCCAGGGTCTGAATTACTTGTCCCAAAGCTGCAGGTTTACCTGAAAACAGCTCACAGAAGTGTGCTTGTCTTTAGCACTCAGATGCCTAACTCCCAATGGGGTCTAAACCCAGATAAATCCGTTTTACCCTGCATAAAGGTTATGCAGGGCAAACTCATAAATTGTTCGCCCTCTATAACACTGATAGAGAGATATGCACAGTTGTTTGCTCCCCCAGGTATTAATACATACTCTGAGTAAATTACTAAATAAAAAGTGATTTTATTAAATACAGACAGTAGGATTTAAGTAGTTCAAAGTAGAAACAGACAGAACAAAGTAAATCACCAAGCAAAATAAAATAAAATGCGCAAATCTATGTCTAATCGAACTGAATACAGATAATTTCCTCACCGGTTCCAGAATGCTCCCTTTTACAGGCTAATCTCCTTTTAGCCTGGGTCCAGCAATCACTCACACCCCCTGTAGTTACTGTCCTTTGTTTCAGTCTCCTTCAAGTATCCTGGGGGGGAGGGTGGAGAGGCTCCTTCTTTAGCCAGCTGAAGACAAAATGGAGGGGTCTCCCACAGGTTTAAATAGACTCTTGTGGGTGGAGACCCCCCTCCTCCCTCCTATGCAAAGTCCAGCTCCAAGATGGAGTTCTGGAGTCACCTGGGCAAGTCACATGTCCCTGCATGACTCAGTCTTTACAGGCCGACACCATTGTCCACATGGTATCTTGCATGTCTCCAGGAAGACTTCTTATGTGGATTGGAGCATTCCAAGATGCATTGTTCTCCAAGTGTTTCCTGATCAGGTACTTAACCTGGTGAATTCCTTCCTAAAGAAGCTGACCAAATGCCTCACAGAGCTATATGCATCCGAAGAAGTGGGCTGTAGTCCACGAAAGCTTATGCTCTAATAAATCTGTTAGTCTCTAAGGTGCCACAAGTACTCCTGTTCTTCTTTTTTCTTAGAGCTTACTTAGAAACCAAGCCAGCATACAGCCCATATTCTTAACCTCAAGTAGAAAATGATATATATGTACAAATAGAATGAATAGATATAGTAGACCATAACCTTTACGGAGATATATTACATGGCACAGGCAGGACAAAACCTATTCCAGTTATGTCCTACATACATTTATAAGCACCCCCTCCCCATAAAGCCTTATGGGGTGCACTGTCACAGTAGGGATCGGATACAGAGGGACCTAGACAAATTAGAGGATTGGGCCAAAAAAAACCTGATGAGGTTCAACAAGGACAAGTGCAGAGTCCTGCACTTAGGACGGAAGAATCCCATGCACTGCTACAGACTACGGACTGAATGGCTAGGTAGCAGTTCTGCAGAAAAGGACCTGGGGGACACAGTGGACGAGAAGCTGGATATGAGTCAACAGTGTGCTCTTGTTGCCAAGAAGGCTAACGGCATTTTGGGCTGTATAAGTAGGGGCATTGCCAGCAGATCGAGGAACGTGATCATTCCCCTCTATTCGGCATTGGTGAGGCCTCATCTGGAGTACTGTGTCCAGTTTTGGGCCCCACACTACAAGAAGGATGTGGAAAAATTGGAAAGAGTCCAGCGGAGGGCAACAAAAATGATTAGGGGTCTGGAGCACATGACTTATGAGGAGAGGCTGAGGGAACTGGGATTGTTTAGTCTCCAGAAGAGAAGAATGAGGGGGGATTTGATAGCAGCCTTCAACTACCTGAAGGGGGGTTCCAAAGAGGATGGAGCTCGGCTGTTCTCAGTGGTGGCAGATGACAGAACAAGGAGCAATGGTCTCAAGTTGCAGTGGGGGAGGTCCAGGTTGGATATTAGGAAACACTATTTCACTAGGAGGGTGGTGAAACACTGGAATGCGTTACCTAGGGAGGTGGTGGAATCTCCTTCCTTGGGGGTTTTTAAGGCCCAGCTTGACAAAGCCCTGGCTGGGATGATTAAGTTGGGGATTGGTCCTGCTTTGAGCAGGGGGTTGGACTAGATGATCTCCTGAGGTCTCTTCCAACCCTGATGTTCTATGATTCTATGATTCTATTTTTGTTTCATCTGTTTGATATTTTCTTGTATCTTGGCCAGAGACAGCCCAGACTTCTGCTCTTTGTTCCTCCAGTTCCCAGCATTGTCCCTGGTTTCGGTGTCCGTTAACGAATTTGGTGCTGGCAGTAAATATCTATCAAGATCTTTCTCCCCGGGCTGTTTGAGTGCAGATGAATGGAGTAAATGTACCTGCGATGCATGAATATGATTTTTCCCTCAATATAGCAAAGAAATCATTCAGCAGTGAAGGAGTTAAGAGAAATGTGAACTTTTACCAGGCTTCTGTCCTCTCTTTCTCCCCTGTCTTTCTATGGAAGGTTCTTTCTGTGTTTATGCTGATCGTAGAACTTTCAAACTCTGAAACTAACCAAGTGTTTTCAACTCCTAATCAGGCCAGCGCTATACCTGGAGTGAGAGAGAAACAGTTCAGTGTGAGGAACACCAGCCCGTAGTTAACAGTGCTTTTTCCTTTCTGGAGGAGGTGGGACAGGGAAGTGTGTTGGCTTGGCCTGATCTGTGATTTCCCTCAACTTTCAGACCCCGAGGAGTTTCTCAATCTCATCATGCATCACATCCTGGGAATAGAGCCACTACTGAAACTGCAGTAAGTTGTCATCTCTCTGTGATCTTACTGATGCAGTGGGACTGGGCTGCCCACATCTGAGACTGGGGAGGGAAGGAGGTGACTTGGTTTGTTAGATAAGGCCTGACCGGAGAGGATCAGTGAATTGCCCTTGTTCATAAAGGAGATGGAAAAGTTTGTGCCCATCTATTCTCCGCTGTGCCCCTGAATTACATTGTGATCACACCTGCCCATCACATTGTGGTCATAGTCCAGGAAGGACTGTACCTGGAAGATGATACTTCTAAATCATTCCCAGGTGTGCCACCTTCAGGGAGTGATGAAATGCAGAGAGTAATCCCTGGATAGGGTCAGTGGTGGCATGAGAAACACAGGGCTTGTCTTCCTAGTCTTCAATAGGTTGGCTGTGGAGTAGTATCATGGATACCTCTGAAGGGTCTGATGTCTCCAGACTGCCAAGCTAGCAGAGAGCCTAGAGCTCCCAAACGGGGAATCCACTGAATTTAGTCCCAGAAGCCCTGTTTTGTGGGGACTCTACAAAGAGGAGATTCACTTAGTGTGAGGACTCCCAAAAATAGCTGCATTGTTCAGGAGTTTAGACCTGGGTTCCCCGTGGAGGAATGTGCAGTGGCTTGTATCATGGAGCTACTCAGAAAAGCAGTGGATACAAAGAAGCCAGTTTCACGTCACTCCAACCCTCCTGCCAGGGGATCCTTTCTATGCTGCTTCAGGGGAGCGCAAGGATCCTGGAGGATCTTTCATGTATAAGTTGCCTTGGGAACGCTTCAGACTTTGCTTTGCAGTTTTCCAGGCAGCTGGATCACAAAACTGGCACCTTATAACTCAGATATAGCAATCTTCTGGTCACACTGTCAAACAGCTGACTTACAAGAAAATCAGTGTGTCTTCATTTTTAAATTGAAGGGGAAAAAAGTGTGTCTGGCCCACCCATCGCAGAGGAGCAAAATGCAAGTGAGAATGATACTTGGTCGGTATCAGTCACCCACAACAGTTGTTGGGTGTTTCTGGATGATAAATGCTTAGTTTTTTGACAGCTAGAGCTGGGCACCCCTTGGTGCCAGGGTTGGAGGCTGTCCTAGAACTCAAAGGCTGTGTCCTGTGAGAGCTCTGCTGTCCAGGCACCAAGGGTACCTAGATAGTGCAGAGAGGCGGCCCCAGTGCCCTGACTCTGGAACGTTGCTCCCAGGTCTGGAGGCCAGAAGGAGCAGGAGTGTTACTGTTACCAGATATTCATAGACAAGCAAGAGGAGCTGGTCGTGCCCAACGTGCAGCAGCTAGTGGAACATTCCTTCCTGTCTTCCAATCTCAAGCTAGTGGAGGTGAGTGCAGCTGCCCTTTTCCTCCTCCGTCTTTCGCAGCCGCCTTCGTTCCCTGCCCCATGCACACGACTGCTTGTTAGAACGTTTTACTCCCCATCTCCACAGCAAGGCTGGTGAAGGGCTTTATGCTTAGGATCACGATGCAGCAGAGCCCCCCAGCACACCACCAGAACCGGAGGGGTGCAGTGGAGAACATGAAAGGGGGTATGGACACTTCACGGATAGTGGGCTGTGGAGAACCTGAGTGGAGAAGGTGTCATCCAGCTGCCGGGTTGGGGAGCAGGTCCAAGAGGGGGTTATGTGGGCAGGGCAAGGCGTCGTCTCCCCATGTTTGGTGACTTGCTTTTTTTCTCCCAGATCCCCTCCTGTTTCATTATCCAAATGCCACGGTTCGGGAAGGAATATAAAATGTTCAGCAAAATCATTCCCTCCCTGGAGCTTGACCTCACCGACCTGCTGCTCGACAGTAAGTTCCTGGGCACTGGGGATTCCGGGGCTGTCTTGCACGTGGGCGCCAACGCAGGCTCGTTTGGATCCAGGTGGCGAGGCTGGCCTAGCTCGGGTGTAAGCAGTTTGGTAAGGTCAGGACTGTGATGTGATTCTTCCTCACAGAGCAGGACTTGCATGGCAGGCGCAGGGGCCAGAGCATACTGACTCCCTGTCATACAACCACTGCTGACATTCGTGTTCCCGCTGCAGGTCCCCGGGAGTGCTTTGTGTGCGGGGACGTAGCCACACAGGAGTGTTCCGAGTGCTTCAAAGACGAGATGTTTGCAGTCACGGGGATGAAGCAGTACTGCGATTCCTGCTGCAGACAGGTATCCAGTTCCCCCTCCGTGTGTTCACTGATCCCCCAGGAGGCAGATCACGGACTGAAACCTCTGCCTTCCCTTGCGTTCCCTGCAGCCAGTCAGGTGGGAGGCTCCTTCCTGAGCAGACCAGCACTGCTGACTGGATCAGCCACTCAGGGTAGTTGCTGCAAGATCATGAACTTGCACATACCTGGCCCCTCATCCATATGGACCCCATGTGCTTTACCACGCTGGGGCCCTGATTCTGGGCAGTGAAGAGCCTTTCCACTTCCTGCAGCACCCTTGCTTCTCCTTAGAGGTCCCCATCCAGGCATTCTCCTGGCACATGGGAAAGACCCAGATGAGGGATTGAGTGGAAAGCAGGTGACCGCAGAACAAATTGGTGACCGAATGCCAGCCTGTCCCCAGACGACACCTCTTTCCCTTTAGGGTAGGTGTAGATAAAGTTGCGGTAGCCCTGCTGACCCGCCGGCGCCCCCTATTGTCTGTCCCCAGGCTCATTCTCACTACCGGCGCAAAGCACACAGGCCAACAAAACTGCATGTCCCTGAGGAGTTTCAGAGCAGGAGCCTCATGGACAGCCCCCGAATCCCACGGGAGAGGATGGAGCTCTTCGCAGTGCTCTGCATAGAGACCAGTCACTACGTCTCCTTTGTGAAGTACGGGCCAGAGAAAGAGAATTGGCTGTTCTTCGACAGCATGGCTGACAGGCACGGTGAGGAGGGGCTCTGCTCGGAGGGGAGGCTGGTCGGCCCTTTGCACCTGGACGACCCTGTTCAGGAATTGCAGTCGCAGCGCCCAACGGTCATGAGTAATTTCTCCACAGATCTGTAATGTAAAACAGGAGGCCTGTGTGCCCGAACTCCATTGGGTCCGTCTGCTGGGAAGCATGGAAAGGTGTCACTTCTTCAATAATATGTAAAACTACTCTCTGCGTGGCATTGCAAACGAACGTACCGTTTGACAGGGAGTTTAGCGCTGGTGAATGGTGCTGGCTTGACAGCCTCTGTATAACTGTAGAACAGGTAGTGGCCAGGCAGGCTGCCCCCACCAGTGCGTTTCAAACCTCAGCTAGAGGGACTTCTTCTAGGGGTGCAAAGATAACTCGGTCATGGCCCAGTCAGTCCTTGGCCTCTCTGCTGACACTGCCGACTGGGGGCCCAGTTAATGCCACTTGCTCTAGTGTTCCTTTGTGCTGTAGACACCTGTCCCCCGGGAACTGAGATTTGGGCTCACCCCCTCCCCCTCTCTCTCTCATATTCAGGTGATGAGAATGGCTTCAACATTCCCATTGTAACGCTGTGCCCTGAAGTTGCCAAATATTTGCAATTGCCAGTGGCGGCGCTGGCTATGGAGCAGTCCCGGGACATGGAAGGCGTGGCCAAACGCCTCTTCTGTGACGCCTACATGTACATGTACCAGAGCAAGAAGATGGCTCTTTACAAATGACCCCAGCCTGGGCTGGGAGAGACCCCACTGCTCTCGTGCAGAGCCATGAGACACTGGAAATGGGGGCTTGGTTGAAACCTGCTGCCTGCAGCTGCTAATTGAGAAAACCCAGCCAGAGTCCAGGTCAAGTGACCTTTCAGCTTTGCCTCTGCTAACCTCTTCCGAAGTCGAGTGTCAGACTATTGATGAGAGCAGTATTCGGTGGTGGAAAGCCTGTGGCCGGCTTTAGCCGAGTGACAGTTTGGACCTTCTGCAAATCCAGACTCGGAACCAGTTTACACTTTTACATATCCTGAGTAAGAGGACTTCACCTTCATCCCATTCCCCTGTCCACACCCCGGATTTCCATCATCCTTTCTTCTCCAGACCCTCTCTACAGCGCTGGGCCCACCAGAACCCCTCTACCTTTCATTCTCCCAATTAACTCTTCCCCAAAGCTCAGGAATCAAGAAGCCCAAGTCAAGGCATGGGCTGTGACTCTCCGATTTTCAACAGAGCACAGGAGAACTGCACTAGACCTCTGGGTGACATCTCAGCTCATCGGCTTCCTGAATGTAAACGCAAAACCGCCTTCTAGATGGTCAGGAATCAAACCTCTCAGGAAGGGAATTTTGCTTAGATCTGCACTAAATTCTGGGGTATGTGACTATGATCCTGAGGTCCCAGTAATGGGACCCCTGAACATCCCCATTCCCTGGACGCAGACCTGCACTCCCTTATTTATAACTCCCTTTTGTTCCTTTACTCCCCCTGTTCAGCACTAATCTCTCTGACGCTCTGCTTAACATCAGTAGCACTTTCTGTTGGAAGTCCCCTCTTTTTAGACATGACATTTGGCTCGAGACTTGAAACTTTGTGTTGCTGTTTCAAGCCGCACTTTGAACAAAAATATAATTTTAAGAACAAAACTGGGGCAGATACAGGCAAAACCAGCATAGGACGGTCCTCCCCCAAAGGCTGTGAGATTGCTCAGAGCGTGTGGCTTTCTAGCTGTAGCTCATCATTTTAAAGCTCATTGTTCTGGTTTCCTGAGGTGCATGTGGAACAGCGATAACCAAACAAACCTCCCAGAAAAAATGCTTTTTAAGAATGAACCTGTTCAGATTTTCCGCCCGTAACAGGTTTTCCGCCCGTAAGGGTATGTCTGGGGGGAGTTACTGGCTTTCAACTTTTTTAAAACAGCAAAGTTAACCTTTGCAAATTTGGTACTGAGCCTGCTGCAAAGTTTCTGTTCTCCTAATGCTGGTAGGCGGCCCCTAGGAGAGTTATGGACCAGGTTGCCCAAACGTCACCCAACCAAAGTCTGCTCTACATGGACAACTTGTCAAGAAGCTGAGGGGTGCCCCGAATGGGTGTAGAACAGGTAGCTGATTGCATCTGTCCTCTTTCATACACGGGGTGTGGCAGCGGCAACTCACAGCATGTAACACTGTCTTGATTTGAGTGACCTGTCTGTGTGGGTCAGGCTGGAACATTGTGTCATCTCTATGGGCTGCTCCTTTCCAGTACAGATGAGGGAAGTCATGGTGCATATCATAATGGGTTGTATTTGGCCCGTCTCTGGCCACCCTGTTATTAACCAGTGCAGTATTATAACAGCCCGTTGAGTTAATATGCCAGTTTGAAACAGTGTTCTGGTTCCATATGGCAGGCCCCTTTCAGCTGTTGGGGAAATTATCGATTTGCCAAAAGGCCTGGAGAACTAGTGCAAACACGGTTATCTTAGCTGGCTTTCCAAACACACACAGAAACCAGAGAGTTGCCTTAACACAAGCCAGGAAGTTCAGAGTGAGGCTGATGTCCCTTCTCGACTCAAAAGCGTCACCCTTGATTTTTGAAGTTTTTATCCTTAGGGGCTGATCCTGACCCGTGCTGAGCACCTATAATTCCCATCGCCTTGGGGCTTGTGGGTGCTCTGCCCCTTTCAGCATCGCCTGCTATTTAAATCCATGTTAGATCCTGTGTATGCACCGTACCTGGGAACAAAGTTTTTGCGGTTTCTAAGGTAACAGTAATAGTGTTAGTTTAGTGTTGAACAGCACATGGGCTCCAGGAGTACAGGAGGTTTGAAAGCCTCCAGCAGATCCCGGCCCCAAATATCTTCTCCCATATAGCTGGCCTCAGCTAACATATCAGGAATGTGTTCTTTAGGTGCCCTGTGCGTCTCTTGCCTCTTAGCTGGTCTTGGCTGAACCTCAAGTTCCTCCACTCACTCCCAGCTCCACCACGGCTAATTCGGTGCTTCTGTCTGAGGAAGTCAGGAGAGCTTTAGGCCACAGGGCTCCCTCAGCAATGGGATTCCTTTAGCCAGCCCACCTCCTCGCTTTTATCCTTCTTCCTCACTGCAGTTTTGTCTCTGGCAGGAAGATCAAACTTCCTTAAAGTGTTGGTTGCTGGGTTCTTCCGCTCTCTAATATGAACTGTCCTGCTGATCTTGTCATGACTAATGCCCTGTTAACTATAGAGCAGTAGAAACCTCTTTCTCCGCTCTCTTTCAAAGCCATGATTAGTTGTTCAGGCCCAAGTTGGTTTTCTCCATATGACGTCTCTTAACAGCTCTGGCTTCTTTTCTCAGGTATCGCATGGGCTGGGGTTCTGTATGTCAAGGAGTCACCCTGTGGTTTCTTAGGGTGCGAATTAGCTCTTCTGGGATTTTATAATGTAAATGGTGACTATCGGATTATTTGTACTTCGGATATTTATGTGATTTGTTTATCTTTATATTTCTAAGCACAAGACACCTTTTTTTAATTGTCAGAAGTGCCTTCTTGACATGACATAGCTTCTGCACAGGGGACAGAGCAAGCCATGCTTTCTAAAAGAGCTGATCCAGGGAACACCCCTAAGCTCTGTAGAGTTTCCACTGTCCTCCCCCCCCCCCCTCCCCCCATGCATATTGCAAAAATACCAAAGCGGCTTTCAGCACTTTTGAAATGAATTTCTCTGATCAGGACAATAGTTAGTGGGATGCACAAATCCAGTTGGATTTCCCTGCATTCATCGTGCATTAGGAGCGTCCATCAGTAAGTCTATGCAGTATCCTAAAAACTAAAGGTGGAAAGGTTTTAGTGCCAGAACAAGTGCAAGCCATTCATTTTCACCTGTGGCTGCTGCATGATTTGTGACATGTCACACTAGCTTGGAATGCTGGGAAAATCCAGACTCAGATTGACCTCACTTGGAGTAACCCAGTCACTGCTCTGACGCTTGATAAGTCAGACAAGAATAATGTGCATTAGCCTCTCTCTGTGCTCCCTTTGTAGTATATTGCTCAGTTGATGTTTTCTGTACTGTTTAAACCTCTGTATATTTTACAGATTTGTTTCTGTTCTTTGAGTCATGCATAAGTCTCTTCCTTTAGTGGTTTCTGTAACTTTGCCTGAAACTGATTTGGGCAGAATACGCGGGTCTGATTTTTTTCAGGCAATGCAATTAATTATACCAGTTCAATTTGAATATGTCTTCAAATAGAGCCATTGGCCTGAGTGCTGGTGTGTGTGTTCTTCAATGAGCTGTTTTCCCAGGGTGGGGCTAAGGGGGATGTGTATTATCCCCTATCGGGGAGAGCACAGCTGGAACTCTGTCATAGGGGGGGTGGCTTTTCCCTCCCCGCTCCCCCGTCCACTCCCTTTGTGTTTGAGTGATTCAGGAAACCAGGCTCTCAAGCAAAGTGCAGGCATCTGACAGTAGGGAGATGACAGCTAGGAGCCATTTGTGTGTCAAACTCCCCACACTAACGGCCACCCTGGTCTTTGTGAATAACCCTGAGCAAACTGGCTGTATCTAAGGGTTTAGAGGGGTCTGGGATTGAGAAGCAGGAGGAGATGGTGGACAAGGAATTGGTGAGGCGGGGGGGGGGCGTAGAAGACAGAGGAAAAGGGAAGGAAAAGACAGGGTGGGTGAGGGGACTCTGATCAGGGCAGGAGCCTGCGTGGGGCAGGGTGGAGGACCCGGTCAGGAGAAGCTGAGCTTCCCCACCACCTGGTGAGCCTACACACGCTGGTGCTTAGAACAATGGGAGAGCGCTCTTTTGGGAATCCTAGACCAGTTCTCCAGGTGGTAAGAAGAACCGAGCTGGGGCCCCTCCCCTTCTTATTCTGGCTCCTGCTCTCCAAAGGGGGGGATGGCTTTGCTTCTCAGACCCCTCACTCCCTGTGCCTCTGCAGGGTGATCCCATCCAGCTGGGCTCCAGGGCTAGGACTGTTCTTGCATTCATTGGCGCTTCCCTTCATGCATTACAGCCTGAGCCTGGACCTCATACTGATGCTGCTTCTGCACCCTACTACCCACAGTGTCAGCACGAGCCCTGCTGGAACCCTTTTCTTTCCTCCC